AGAATTTTCCCCTTCTTGTTTTTCCTTTGACTATTACTGATATCGTTCCCCGTCACTCACGTCACTACTGCTATAACGCCGTTTCACCGAATATACGCCCGACAGTGATTTTCAGCATGTCACATAATTAGATACGGAGTGTCGAAATATCTCTCTTTCTATTTAATATACTTTTAGGATCCTTATGCCCCTAGATATACTGATTATAGGTACAGGGTGGGTGATTCATCAAGCTTGTCCACCCACATTATTTCCTTCGTGTAATAATTTTAAAACAAGGAATTCAGGTATTTCAATTCTGTTATTTTGGAATTTTAACGTAGCTGGTATTCTTAGGTATTTATTAAAGAATTATAATTTATATATCATATTATAAATTATGATTTTTAGAAGCAACTGGTGATTGTTTTGAAAATGTTAATGTAAATGTTTATTAATATTTAATTGAATTCGTAATTTTATTGAATTAATATAACGTTAAAATTGTATACATTTACTTATTAGGTACCTATAATATTATGTACCCAGCCACCTAGGTAGGTACCTATGTGTAGGTTGCATGCCATCTATTTAATGTGGAAAATTCGTATCTACCTAAAATGTTTTTTTTTTTTATGAATCCAATTCGACTGTTAGATATAAATTTGCTATATACATTTTAGTTCAAATATTTGATATTTGAGTCTAATATTATAGTCAGCGCGTAGGACCGATGATATTATGCAGAATATATTTTAAAACCAATGGTACTACAATGGTTTTAATTTGTTTATATTTATTTTTTTCATTTTACTTGCTTTATTATCATAATATATTCGAATAAAAAGCTAATATAGAACGAAATAGATTTTTTTTGTTCATAAACATAACAATGGCTGCCCAACCTGAAACCAGTTGAACCTTAATGATTTTATTATTTTTTTTTTTTTTTTATAATAAAAATTTATTTTATTTCAATTTCAACGCTTTAAAATACAAAATTACGATTTTGGTTTGATAGTTCATGATATACCTACCTTTATAATTATTAATTATAAATTAAAATAACAACATTAATAATCATTATTTCTCATTTTTAAGTTACTAAAGTTATAACTTTTTAAATTAGTATCAGAAAATACACAACAAAATATAACAATAAAAGATATATTATGTTATCTTATGTTATAAATAATTATAATAATATATATGGATATTTATTTTAATAATAAATATAATTAATTTAATATACTCAATATCAGTATGAAATAATAAGACATGTAGTTTATTTATTGCAAGTTATCAAGTTATTTCTATTGAAATAGTATATTATATCTAAGACATAGGAACCTATAAAATCTGAATTATCATTTGACAATACATGACAATATAAGTTTACTAAATATGAATAATTTTTCTTTCTTTAAAAGGTATTAGATATTTAAATTAAGCAATAATTTTTTATAAAACAAAACGATAAAGCATAAATTTGCATGTTGTAGATATTTACTTAAGAAAAAAATTATTCTGGTAGTTCAAAAACAACTAAACGCAACGATAATTATTAAATTTGATAGACTAACGTTTTTTATATCATAACATTATATATTATAATACAACGATAATAAATTAACAATATGTTATTATGCGATTGAAATACTAATAATTAAGAAAAAATACATGTTTAATCGAATGAAAAATCCTTTTATTGGAAGAACTTTGGCATGACGATATAGTAATATAATAGTAATATAGTATAATACTAAAGTGGAATAATTATGGAATATTATTATTTACCTATTAGTACAATAAAAATTTGAATTTAATTTTAATGTTTATTTAATAATTTTAGTAGTTTTTGATACTATATATCAGTATAAAATAAACTACCTACGTCTTACACTTAAAATATAACTACTATAAAATTACTTTAGTTATTATTTATAATACCTAATAATTTATTATTTTATTTTTGGTGTTAAAATATAAAAACTTAACAAATATATTTATTTTTACTTATAATTGAAGCTTAAGAAGTAAAAGTAAATATCAAGTAATTGATTATTTGAAATGTCCTAGCATTAGCAAAAACGTTTAATAAAAATAATTTATCATCGCTTTTAGTCTTCTGTACACAGTTACTAAAATTCACAATATTTGCAAAACTGACAAAGTTTGTAATTTCAACAATATTAATCAGTAGAGACACCTAATCCATTTTAATACATTTTAGTACTATTATGCATATTGTATATAATTGATCATACTATGATTTAAAAATAAAAATATCCTTTATATTTAAACACGGAAAAAACTGAAACTAAAAAAAAAAAATATTTTTATAAGTATATATTTATATATATACAATATGGCTATGTAAAACAAAGTTTTGATTTTAATTTATCAGATTATGATGGGATAAGATATATTTAATTTATAAACGAATATTTTAAATAAATTGGTACACTAAAATAATGAATCCCCATAGAAGTCACTAATACGTTTTAGTTTTTTATAATAATCCTTAAATATCAAATGTCAAGAATTGACTGCGAAATGTTTTTGTCTCTCATAAAACATTAAGTCTGTTTAAATTTTACCCTTTAATAATATCACATGAATTCAATCTTAAAAGCAATATATTTAATATTTTAGTGTTAATGTTTTCTATAAATTATATCTAAACATTCTATGTACTTATATTCTATATATTATAAAGTTCTGAATGTTTTTTTTTTAAATTCGTGTTATTGATAATCATAAGCATTGGATTAATTACTTAAATTATCGTTCTCTAAATATCAGTTTTAAAAAATTTACCGTTTTATAATTTAAATATTGAATTATATTTTTTGCATATTTTAGTATTAAGAGCATATATAACGATAATAAAATTAAAAATTCATTATTTCAAATACATTTATAATAATTTTGAGAATACTTTGTTTTCACTTTCTATTGTATCTATTGCTTTAATGTTTTAAAAATTTCAAATAAAGGTATTTATTTTATCGTTAGGCAGTACAGTTTATGTTAGTGTTCCATGATAAGTTAAAATACACCATCGTATGCCGTTGACGTGGTGATATATAATACACTATTACCATTATTATTATTATTATTATTACTATTGATGATATATTTGGACAAGCCGACACCGATTGTGGGCGGAGGAAAAGCTGAGAGGTCAAGGGTTCGCGAGGGCGAAACTTCCCCCAAAACGGAATGGATTGCATACGTGACTTGCGTGTTATGACGCGGGTTTCAAACTGGTTCGGGGAGTTTTACAGTAAAAATAACAAAAATATAATAAAATAATAATAATAAGCATCTGTGGACGAATGGGATAATAATTATATAAGTGATATAATAGCGTTCTATAATTCTATATTTGGTACTCACCAGTGGTTTTAGAATGCTGTTTTTCGCTTGCGTACCGTATGTCCTCCGCCGTCGACTAGTAATATTTAAATATGCGCTCTTCTGTGGTGCGTTTAACCCTTTCGGCAGTGTTTTTCGAACCACGTCGATCTAAATTTGCCTTTTTTTTCCTGTCACTCTCTCTCTCTCACACACACACTCTATTTCACACTATATCCCCCTCAATCCTCATCACGACACCCGTTCACGGTGCCCTTCCATGCTATATGTATATTTTACATATTATAATACTATATATACACGCGCCGCGCTACCGATTCCCCGCGAGAAAGCACGTCGAATGTGGAACACAGCCTCCCAGGATCGAGCGCATAAATTTGCATACCCTTTTTATTATTATGATTATTAAACATAGGTAGGTATGCATAATATTTATTATTATTATTATTATTATTATACTATGCGTGTAATATATAAAAGGTATAATGTCGTTACGAATGCACCTGGATCGATGAACCCGCACATGCATATATACATAATATATAATATATTTAATATTACAAATTTGTAAAAATCGATGCTTCCAAGCTTATAATATAACTTACCATATTATATTGTGATGTGTATTATAATATGTGTACGACATGACAATAGCTCTACATTTTATTTGTCTTACTTACACGTTTAGGCACACAATTACAAGAATATCGTTGCGTATTGAGTAAAGTATGTCTAGAAATAATAAGCCAATAATACACGGGCAACTAAATTATGTTTAAGATATCATTAGCTCACTATTGATTTAATAAATGTTCAGTAATAATTTAATCGTTTAATACTTATGCGACTCTTTACTTTAATTTTAATTTTTTTTTTTACTTTAAAATTAAATTAATGTTAAAAAATTACAATAAAACGATGAAAAATATATTTTAGAGAGATGTATTACATAATATATAAGTTAATAGAAAGTCTGAAGTAAAAACAAAACTATTAAAATATTATAGTATAACAGAAAAATTTTGCAAAATTGAGATAACTTAAACTTATGATAATGAAGTATGTTTTTATAATGTAAACAATTAAAAAAGTTTTAACCTATAGACGTTAAGATACGCGTTAAAAAAAAAATCAGTAAACAAATTGTTGTTTCCTGATTACGTATAGTTGCCGTAAAAAAAAGGCAACGTCTGGAATGTTTTTAATCTGTTGTTTTTGTTTTTGTTTTCTTCTTTTGTTTCTTTTTTTTTTTAATCGACGATAAATATTTATGGCACTTGTTGCACGCAAATTAAATCCAGCCACCGCTGGCTGAGGGGGTGGATAAATTACTTCTTTTAACAGCAATAACAATGAAGGCAGCGTTGGCGTTGTGGTGGGGTGGGACGGGAGGTGCAATGGAATAATAATGATAAAAAAGTAAGAAACTTTTCCTCGCGGCGAGGGTAGTTAAAACATTTGGCCTTGAGAGAAATATGAGTCAAGGTCATAATTAAAATAAAAAGAACGCAAAAAAGTTCAACACTCCCCTTACCGACATCGCACGCGGTCTTTAGTGCAGTGGCACGCGATAAAAAATAAAAAAAAACACTGCGAGTAATAATAATAAACACAAAAGCACTCTTCCCTTAGCCTTTATTCTCCATTCGTTAAATAATTATGTTTAGCATATTTTTTAAGATTTATTTTCTTTTCACCCTTGACCTAAATTTAAAGACTCGAGTATTTTATATACTCTTGTTGATATTTTGTGAAATACTGAAGCCCACGAGTCACGTAGTTCAATCGATTATTATACAACCAAACTTGCAGATAATAACTGTGTTGTTGAAATTACAAAAAAAAAAAAAAAAATGACTTAAGTATATTTTTGGTACTCACTGATTTTTTACTTGACTTAAGTAGTATACAAGTTATATTCAGTGGCACAATAAATGCGATGTTTATAATAATATAATTAATTTTTTAAATCATATGGGTATGAGAAAAATCAATCAATTATAATACATAATATAGATTTATTATTATTCTAAAGTCTATTAATTTTTTCATATTCTATCGAAAAACAATTTTACAGTAAGTATGTATATAGTATATTATATACCTCTTGCGCGTGCTGTATAATTATACATTATTATATTATTAAAGCAATATGTTTGAATAATAATAATGATATTTCGATTTCATGTCTAAGGTGCTATCATAAAAATATATATCATATTCCTGTATAATAACATTAAATATTATTTTGGAGAAACTTACCAAAATTATTCATTTGATCATAGTACATTTCATTTATAATTGTTAAGTGGAATATGTTCATAAGAGTAAAATATTTTTGTAATATAAAATGTACTATAATACTAAATCAAAGAACATATATATAAAACTAACTCGACTAACTGACGTATATATTTTACATGTGTGTAAAAATTTGTATTACTACTACATTTGAACAAAATATGTGTAGAAAACATTTAATACAAAGAAATAAGTGACTATACTTAACTATAAGGTGTGCAATCTTACATACTTAATATAGCGAATGTCTTGTTTATTTATTTTAACAATAATGTATTTCAATATATATACAGCTTTAACTTCACAAACGTATAGAACGTGTAAAACCAAAATTTAATTTTTTTTTTTTTAACATATTAAAACGGTTGTTTCAGTATATTTTATTATTTAATAAATGCAAAGTAATAGAAATGGAAATCATTCAGTTTTAGAGATTATATTTTGGATAATTTTTACAAAGTAAAAACATAATTTAAAAAATAAAATGCTTTATAATTAAAACGCTTTCGAGTTATTAATACTTGTGCAAGTCACACAACTAATGTAATTTGAATGTATATACCTACTAGGTAACCTAATATAGAGTATATTGATCTCTCGTTTTGAGGTATTCGTTAAGCCTTACAATATTAATAATATGTATTAAGGTAATATATTGGTGTAATACATAATAACACATATTCCCTGGTATATCTATATTATTATATCTGTGGCAATTAAAATAATAATTGCTAATAAACAAATTATAGAATATGCGTCGTGCAGATGATATAAGTATATTATGCATATTAATAGTAATATGATAATAATGCAAATAATATAAAATATTAGCGCTTGGGAATTTGACATAGTTAATAAGTGTTCTAAAAGGGTTTTGTATAATTTTCTGAGGTACAAATTTGCACAATTGTATTATATATACGTGTTATATTATTTCGTCTTTGCATCATGTTAATAGTAATAATAATAATAATAATAATGATAATTTCGACTAGTTCCTTTGTATTCTCTGACAACGAACACGTTTTTTAATACATGGTACCTTATATTATTATGTATATAGGAAACCTTAAATTCTATTGTGGCTTCAGTACAATGTATATATATTTAATTCCGTCTCTAGGACGACGACGACACAGCTGCACCGGTAGACCGGCATTATAACATTACGAGTATATATAATATTATTCGCAGGCTTTCTCAGATTAAAATTTTTTAGGCGATCTGAACCGATTGTACCTACATCTATGATTCATACCTATATGACTTATCCCTTCCGGGTCCCCGCGGACCTCGTGTCAGGTATACAGATATGAGTACGCAAATTGGTACGCGCATAATATTTGAATATAAACTATTATGTACGCGGGGCGGCTGGGTCTTGTTAATTCCAGGTGGCCGGGACAGCAGCATCAAAGGGTTACAATATTCAGCGTGTAAAGTATATATATTCACAAAAGAAAATCGTTGCCGATCGATTGACGGCTACGGCGGCGTCAGTGACGATGGTAATGCGATTGATTATTATTGTAGGTACCATTTTATCGTACGTGTAATAATAATATATACTGCAGGTGAGATCTACCGAGATTTGCATTTCCCACGGTGACTGTCGTAGCGGATCCTAAATAATATAATGTTATACAATATTATACATAAGCTTGCGTATGGTTTTTATAACTACATACTAGGTATTTATCATATAAAATATTTTTATACATAACTGTGGCAATACAACTATTATAATGCACATTAGTTTAATCGTGACGATTATTTTTTACTGAGTCCACGTATCTCCTTAAAACCTGGTTATAAATATCTGATCAAATAAAAACACCACCTATGTGAAATATTATGTGTTAAAATTTCGTTGAAAGACGTTTTCATTATATTATATTAGAATTAATAATAAATGTCTGTAAAACAGCTAGTTATACATTTTGGTATATTAAAATATAATTTGATCATATAACAAACTAACTTAATCTAACCTAATTATAAAGATAACACGCAGAGATAAAACAAAAAACATATATTTAATTTTTCATAACCATAATATTTGCAAATCCTTCTCGCCCAGAAATTTTCTTAGGTAAACATTAACTAAAGCATTTTAAAAAAAATTGTTTATTTTTTTATGCAACATTTACTATGATTTTCATAAAACCATAATCCATCTAGGAAATTTGTTCTAGGTACGACCTTGATATGTATCATTATTCCTAATAAACGATCAATTATAGTAAACTATATTAATATATGTATGCTAAGTTTTCATTAATTTATGATTGTGCTACCTTTATTGTAAATAACGACAACATTTTTTTATACATTTTGTTTTAACAGTAAAATAATAAATGTGTAATATTGCCAAGAAAATAAAGAATTGTATAGTGTATATTTTGCGATTTTGGCACTTGTAATAAAAAAATATAAACGCTTGGTTCATCTCGTTTGCAACTTGCTGCAAAATAAAATATCTATGTACTCGTATTGCTAGAAATTTAAGAAAATAGCGACTTTCGGTGTACCTAAAGTGTTTAACAGTATATAGGTACCTATATAAATATATTTTATAATATTACACAATAAAAAAATAAAAATAAAAACTGTTTTATTCTATATTATATTATTTATATAGAGTAATATATTCATATAATATCACTAGCGACATTAACTGTAATGTGCACTCAAATCTTTGCAAGAATGACTTTTAAAGTTTTTTAAGTACGCGTCAAACGGGTAATAAAAAAAAATGTCAAACATCAATAATGACAGCATATTATATTATACAATTGATATTACTTTGGGGAATATTATATTAAATTAGTTTTGAC